AACCTCAACAGAACCCATGCCAAAACAAGGACAGATCACTCTTTGTTGTTTCCTCTTTGTCCATCCCAACCTAGCAAAAACTCAATGCCCCAAAAAAGGCCCAAAAAAGGGGGAAATTTCTTTTCCTGTAAATATGAAAAAAAAACACTCCCTTTTTTAAAATTAAGTCTTTTTTCTCAAAAGACCCAATTTAAAACCATAAAAACCAAATAAAATACTGAATAACTGAACCTTAAAAAATTGTATATCCTAAAATTGTTACCCCACAATTATTCACAAAAATTTTAAAACCTGGGCCCCCAAATCAAACTTTGTTATTTTTTAAATACACTACCTAACAAAAACCCCAAATTTGGGCCTAAATGTACAGAAAAGGCATGAAAAACCATTTGACCTGTTTTTGGGAATACTATTTGGGGTTTTATGGTTTTTCTTTTTGCAATAATTTTTACCCTGTTTCACCCAATTGCTTAAGGTTAAATTTTAAAGGGAAATTTTTTAAGCCGGGCCCAAATTTCAATGCATAAAAGTGGCCTTGGCTTTGCTCCCCTTTTAAACCCTGTTTTTTTTGGGTACCTTTCGTATGTATGCTAAAAATTACTAAAAAAATAAATAAATCCCCAACCCCCCCATTACTCTTACACTTGTTTCCCAAAACTCCCCCCCCGCTTTTCACCCCAAACATTTCCCAAAATCTTCTCTCTTCCCCCCTAAATTTTCTCTCTTTTTTCCGGGTTTTCCCATACACCGCTTATTTTTCCCCCTTTTTTTCACACCCAAATTTTTTTTTTTACTCCCACAAAATCCTTGAATTAATACATTTTTTGTCTTTTTTTTTCCTTCCCCTTTACCTTACCCTTTTTAAAACATTATTGCCTACTCCTTTTTTAAGCTCAAAACTCTATTAAAAACCCCCTGACCTAATCAATTTCCGGAAAGGCCCGGACTTAAAGTCCTGGAAAAGGGAAGTAAGTGCCTGCACTCTGAAGGAGGGGTGTTAATGTTGCTTTTAAAAAACTGTAGTTTTTAAAGCCCCCCTTGGGGCAAGCCCGGATGGGGGTGAATTATGGTGAAAGTTTTTTTTTTTCCCGGGCCACCCTGCCTTGGTGGGAATCGGCCAGTGTGAAAATTTAAAAAAAAAATAAATATAGAATATTATAAATTTTAATATTTTAATATATATATATTTATATATATTAAATATATAATATATAAAATAGGAGGGCCCCGCTTTTTTTTTGGGGGGGGGGGGGGGGGGGGGGGGGGGGGGGGGGGGGGGGGGGTTTTTTGGGGGGGGGTTCCGCAAATTTACGGAAATTTTCCCAAAATTATAAAACCAAAACTTCGCTAAAAAAGGGGTTTCCCCCCCCTGCCCTTTCCAATACGGTCACAGCCCCCAAAAGAGTTTTTTTTAACTTTCCCCCTTTGACCCACACTCCTTTTTATGTTTTTTGGGAAACTTTCCGCCAAAAATTTCAAGTTTTTTTAAAGTTTTTGGGATTTTTATATGAGAAAGTTCTTTTACACATAAAAAAATTAAACTTGGGGTTCCCCCCCCCCCCCCCAACCCCCCCCCCCCCCCCCCCCCCCCCCCCCCCCCCCCCCCTAACCCCCCCCCCCCCCCCCCCCCCCCCCAAAAAACCCCCCCCCCCCCCCCCAAACCCCCCCCCCCCCCCCCCCCAACCCCCCTTCCCCCCCCCCCCCCCCCATTAAAAGGACCCCCCCCCCCCCCCCCCCCCCCAAATTTAAAATCACAAGAGTCTTTTACTCTTTGATGCAAATAATAAAAATTTAATAAAAAATTTAATAATAATAAAAAAGAAAATAATAAAATTTTTTGGGGCCCATTAATGTCCCCTATTACGTTAATATGGGAACTTTTTCCCCTTAATCTATCTTTGATTTTTTTTTCAAAATTTATAAAAAAAACACAATGTAACCCACAAACATAAATGCCCCAAACAGTATAAAAATTTATAAAATTTATATATGAAAATTTTTTACCAAACGGTTTGTAAAAGGTCGGAAAATTACGTTTCTCAAAGCCCTTCACCGTTTACAAAGGGAAAAACCGTAAAAAAAAAGTTCCTTTCGTATCCCTTCACTTTTTTAGTTTTAAAATTCTTATACTTGTAAAACAGGAAAGGTATTTTTTTTCGTGTTTTAAATTAAAATAATCAAAATAAAAATTTTAAAAGGGTTAAAATTTTTAAAAAAAAACCCTCTTAAAAATTGAAATTAATGAACTAAAAACTGACACGTATTAATCCCGCATTTCGCCTGCCCAAAGTGTTTCCCCCCACAACCTTTTCAGTTTTTTTTGTTTACCTTTTCTGGGGCTCGGTGTATCATTAAATGTTGTATATTACGTTAATATCCCACTTTTTTCATTTTCCATCCGTGATTTTTTTTTTAAAATTTATTTTTTTTAAACACGAACATAACATAAATACATAAAAAACTTAGTGTAAAAAAACCTTTAGGAAAACCCCAAAATAGCCCAATTGACTTTACTTCCATTGCCTTCACCCCAAGCAAAAATTTCTTCCAAAATGATTTTTAACATGAGAAGGGGAGTGTTTTTCTTTTTTTATTTTTTACCGTATCAATGTAAAAGGACAACCGTACCAAGGTAACTTGTCCCAAAAAAACCAGACGTTTTAACCCTTTTGGGTTTTCAAAACTTACCTTCGCCTGGTTTTTTTACAAAAATCTGGCCCTGTTCCCTCTCAGCACTCTTTCCCTTTCTCTCTGGTATGGAAAGCCTGGCTGACTACCTCCCTCCCCAAATTTGATTTTTTACAATAAATACAAACCATCTCCCCCCTTATTTTGGGTAATAATGATAAAACTGTATATAAAATTTATGCTCTGGGAGTTTTAAATATCATAGAATAGTATGTGTGGGGGGGTTTGGGCCCTGGTTTTGGTAGCCGGGCTGATAGCATACATGCCACACTTGATTTTTTAAACAATAAATAACTGCCCAACCCTATTTTTTAAGGAAAGAAAGGGAGTGAACTTTATATCTTTTTAATCGCTCTGGGTTGCTTAAATTCATAGAATAGAATTGTGTGGGTGGGGGGGCCCCTGGTTGGTACCCGGGCTGACTACCATACAACCACACTTGTTTTCTTAAAATTTAAATACTATTTGTCTCCCCTAGATTAAGCCCTTAAATTTTTTAAAGGGTAAAAAAAGAGTGCACTATGTGTGTTTTAAATTTTTTTTAATTTTTTTTTGGGATGCCGGGTTTTTCTATTGCTAACAAATATATTTTTTTTTTGTAAACTGTTATCTAGTGTTTGTATGCATTTGTAAGTGGAAAAAAAGGGTGTTCCACTTTATACGGCGGTAGCCTGGAACCTAACCTGCCGTATAAGTGGGGCCCTCCTGTATATATATATATATAATATATATATATATATATATATATATTATATATATATATATATATATATATATATATATATATTAATATCTTTCTTCTTTCAACACACCGGCAGTATCCACGAGCGAGGTGGCCCAAAGGAAAAACGAAAGTTTCTTCCTTTTACATTTAGTATATATACAGGAGAAGAGGTTACTAGCCCTTTTCCGGCATTTTAGTGCTCTTACAACACGCAGGCATCGTAGGAAGAAAATTCTGTTTCCACTTCCCATGGCGATAAGGAGGAATTAAACAAGTATAGAACTAGTAAAGAAAATGGAGGTAAGTAACCCAGAGGGGGCGTGTATAATGTGCTTGTACATGTATGTGTAGTGTGACTAATGTAGTAAGTAGAAAGTGAGCAAGCATACTGAAAAAATCTTGGGCATGATTATGAGACAGAAAAAAAGGACACCAGCAATCCAACCATCATTAAGTAACAATTAGGCGCGTTTTCACTCACTTGGCAGGACGGTGTACCTCCCGGGGCGGTTGCTGTCTCCAACCTACACCTAAATATATAATATTAAAAATTAAAAGTAACGAAAGACTGGATATCAGATTGGAGGGAGAGAGTATGGAGGAGGTGAATGTATTCAGATATTTGGGTGTGGACGTGTCAGTGGATGGGTCTATGAAAGATGAGGTGAATCATAGAATTGATGAGGGGGAAAAAGGTGAGTGGTGCACTGAGGAGTCTGTGGAGACAAAGAACTTTATCCATTAAAGCAAAGAGAGGAATGTATGAGAGTATAGTTATACCAACGTTATTGTATGAGCGTGAGGCATGGGTTGTGAATGTTGCAACAAGGAGAACGCTGGAGGCAGTGGAGATGTCATGTCTGAGGGTAATGTGTGGTGTGAATGTAATGCAGAGAATCCATAGGTTGAAGAGTAGGAGAAGGTGCAGGATTACTAAAACTATTATCCAGAGGGCTGAGGAGGGGTTATTGAGATGGTTTGGACATGTAGAGAGAAGAGAACAAAATAGAATGACTTTGAGAGTGTATAAATTTGTAGTGGAGGGAAGGCGGGGTAGGGGTCGGCCTAGGAAACGTTTGAGGGAGGGGGTAAAATAGGTTTTTTATGCAAGGGGCTTGGACTTCCAGCAAGCGTACGTGAGCATGTTAGATAGGGGCGAATGGAGTCACATGGTTTTTAGAGCTTGATGTGCTATTGGAGTGTGAGCAAGGTAACATTTATGAAGGGATTCAGTGAAACCTGCAGGCCGGACTTGATTCCTGGAGATGGGAAGTACAGTGTCTACTCTAAAGGAGGGTGTTAATGTTGCAGTTTTATAACTGTAGTGTAAGCATGCCTCTGAAAAATATATTTCATTGTATTTGTTTATTATTTAATTATTGTAAACTTATCTAAAATATATTTAGTTGGATTAGGTTAAATTGAGCTTGTTATGATAAGGTTAGGGAAGTTTTCTAAGGTTCTTTTGGTATAAAATTATTAATTTTTACATAAACATAAATAAAAAAATATGTCTTTGAACATATAAAAGAAAATATTCGTACATATAATTTCTATGTGGCTGGTTAATTTGATAACACCTTTGTGACCTCTCAGCATTTTTGTGACCTTCCTTCAGACTTTACAGTGTTTTGAGCTCTCTTCAGCGCTACTCTGTCCCACAGGCATCTACCCAAGAAACACAGTGTGTCAATACATCTTCAGAGGACTCGACAACCAGAAAGTTAAACTCACGTTCAAGTACTTCGACATCGAGGGTGTAGCACCGTAAGTGACTGGTAGTGGAGGTAATACCACCACTCACCGTAAGTGACTGGTAGTGGAGGTAATACCCACGAGTATGGTAAGAACACTTGATACAGAACAAAGCTGTAATGCACACAGAGCGTGTTCCACTGTGTAGAGCTTTGTTGTGACCTGATAAAGTTCTACACAGAGCGAAAGTTTATATGAAGGTTTGTTCTGCTCTGTGTTTCTTTAAGTGACTTCCAGTATGTGTCAAGTGTTGCATCTTGTGTTGACTTGGTATTGCTTCCTCTTCAAGTAATAATTTACACTTTAATGTAAAATTTCATTTAATGGGATTCATTGGTTACCATTTATTGTATTAGTTAGACAGTAATTCTGCACTTGGTTGCAGGCAGTCATTCTGCTGACATTGTTTATATAAAGTCAACTATTGCTAACTTTGGTTGTGTTCTTCTCAAGGTGTACAGCAGAAAGTGACAGTGATTATGTGGAGTTCAGTAGCACCATAGAGCAGGACCTCCTTCCAAGACGATGTGGGCGCTTTGCTCCCAAGGTTAGCTTCAACATTCTATGTGTTCATATTACTTAATACTAGCACAACCAGGGAGATATGTTAACTGCGTACAGAATACTTGGAGTACGCCATAACGCAAACATTTAATCAAACATGAAGTTGATAAAAATACTGAGAACCCATTGTTCAGGCAGACATTACACTTAAAGCCCCTTATTAACGATGCCATTACTACAGAGGTTTCAAGCACTGAAATAAATGAAATCCACAGAATCAAGGATCAAATGATGAGTCCATTCATTGGATTTCTTTGATACGAATTGGTTCTTGATCCAAGACATTGATGCTTCCTGTTCGTTCCTTGGATCAGATCTTGCCTACCCAGGTGCTGCTTAACCTCTGCAGCTTGAGCACCTCGCCGTAATAATAACTTGGATATACATAGTTCATACTTTATTATTCTACATACAATGACAAGATCTTTACTACATGTATTAATCCTGATGAACTAGTGAGTAAGGATGGGGAGAGGACCTTATGTTTCATTATCCTTGCCTCAGACATAATTTGATAGTTCTTAATAGACAGAAGTAGACAGTTCTCAGGATATAGCCTCGACATGGTCTATAAAGTCTTCTGTCTTTCTCATGTGCCCTCATGTACCGCCATGTGCCCTCGTGTACTGTCATGTGCCCTCATGTACTGTCATGTGCCCTTGTGTACTGTCATGTGCCCTCATGTACTGTCATGTGCCCTCATGTACTCTCATGTGCCCTCATGTACTGTCAAGTGCCCTCATGTACTGTCAAGTGCCCTCGTGTACTGTCATGTGCCCTCATGTACTGTCATGTGCCCTTGTGTACTGTCATGTGCCCTCATGTACTGTCATGTGCCCTTGTGTACTGTCATGTGCCCTCATGTACTGTCAAGTGCCCTCATGTACTGTCAAGTGCCCTCATGTACTGTCAAGTGCCCTCATGTACTGTCATGTGCCCTTGTGTACTGTCATGTACTCTCATGTATCCCGGGGTCGAACCATCGACGTAAACAAAGACCAGGTCAAACACAGCAACGTAGTAAATGCCTTTAATAACACCAAGACTAAATCAGTTCATAATCTTGAATCCAATAATATAAAACGTGTTTTTTTCATCAGTTAACAAGATGCATACTGTTACTTCGGCTAGATTTACATTGTAACAATTACACCCTAAAGTTCATTTAGACTTCATTCATAAAATTAAACATTGGTGACTAAGTCACAGGACCAATTCTGCTTGTTATTCCTACATTTTTCATCACATTTACGAAGTATATACACCAGCTTAACCTCCAGATTCATGATTCAGATTGTCAGATTCATGATTCAGATTGTCAGATTCACGATTCAGATTGTCAGATTCATAATTACTACAGAGTGATAGTATTTATATACACCATCTCACTTGTACATGAATGGTATACAATGCCCACAACTTGAAGAATTAGACACATGCAACATCTGGATATTTTTAGTAGTAGACTTTTGCCATCCAGTGGCTTTATCAATACAAATTGAAGGAAACAACAGGAAGACTATAGAACTATATACAAAAGACGAGGTAATTAGTCACTCAGCCTTGAAGTTGGTGATGTTGCACATGTGTCAGATTCCTCATGTCCAGTTGTATTTCCTCACAGTCATATGCATATTTCCAGTGCAAATACAGTATCGTGTGGCAAGCAGAGAACCGAAAAAATGAGCCGAGGCTGTTAAGATTATGTTTGATGATGAATTATTGCTTCACTGACAAGTGTGGACATAATCCAGACAGAAAATGATGATTGAATTCGCAAATGAGTGCCCAAGATGCGCCTAGAGCAGTGGTATTTAACCAGAGTGTATGTGACCCTCATTCCCCTGGGAATGAGGGACTAAACAAGGGTCATTAAGACTGCATGTCACTTGTCATCCCTCATGATTAATTTAATATCTAAAATTGGGATTAAAGTAGACTCTCAACGTATATACACTGCAAGATACATATCTGTTGACATATTTTTTTCTGTATTTTATAAAAGGGGATAATTTAAATGAGTGTTAGCTATATGAAGACTTAACTGCACCAGATTTAGTGCTTAGTTTTGATAATAATAATAATAATCTTTCTTTCTTTCTTTCAACACACCGGCTGTATCCCACCGAGGCGGGGTGGCCCAAAAGGAAAAACGAAAGTTTCTCCTTTTACATTTAGCAATATATACAGGAGAAGAGGTTACTAGCCCCTTGCTCCCGGCATTTTAGTCGCCTCTTACAACACGCATGGCTTATGGAGGAAGAATTCTGTTCCACTTCCCCATGGAGATAAGAGGAAATAAACAAGAATAAGAACTAGAAAGAAAATAGAAGAAAATAAGAGGTGTGTGTAATATATATATGCTTGTACATGTATGTGTAGTGTGACCTAAGTGTAAGTAGAAGTAGCAAGACGTACCTGAAACCTTGCATGTTTATGAGACAGAAAAATGGACACCAGCAATCCTACCATCATGTAAAACAATTACAGGTTTCCGTTTTACATTCACTTGGCAGGACGGTAGTACCTCCCTGGGCGGTTGCTGTCTACCAACCTATTACCTACAAATACTAATAATAATAATAATAACTGCACCAGGAGGTTAAGTAATACTTGTGTAGATTATTTTAGTCATGCATAACTTAAAGTGCACTGGTGCCTTCATATCGTCTAGATTTTATTATTATAATCAAGGGGAAGCGCTAAACCCGTAGGATTATACAGCACCTGTGGTGGGATGCAGAGGGTATTCAGGTTTAATTCAGGGAACTGGAGCACAGATCCAATTCCCTAGATCAAGAGCCCCTCACCAATGTCAAGGAACCTTCCTTGAAGGGATATATATCGTCTGGAAACTCTAGACTCTCACTGTTAAATAACGTCACTCTTAATTCTGTTCAAATTCACTTATAACATTAATCATGTCTCTGAAGATCTTCGAAATTATAACATCCAACATATCTGACGGAGTTTCCAGACCTTTTTATTGTTCATTCAGTATTACCCCCCCCCTCCCCCCCAAAGAAAAAGCCTGTCTACACAACTAATTGTAAAATGCCACTTTATTAGCTATTATACTCAGCATTAGTTTTCTACAGTTTAATCTTTACATGTGAATATAATAAATATTACATAGATGACTGGTACATCTGTTCTGGTTAATTAGATTATGGCTATAAAGTACAGTATGAAGCATAAGTTGAAAAGATTTAAATGAGCTGTGATTAAATCTGGTGCGGTGACCCGTTAATTGTATATGCTCATTAAGTTGTCAGTGCCAGCATCAGGTAATGTGAGAGAAATATTTGAGACCAACTCGAAAACCAAGACGCCCAAACCGGTTATCACAATCAGTGATTCCTTTATAACCTGATGTCTAGGTATATTATCATCGGAGGAACACAGGTCACACCTGTGAGGTCAGGCTCAGAGGAACACAGGTCACACCGTGAGGTCAGGCTCAGAGGAACACAGGTCATACCGTGAGGTCAGGCTCAGAGGAACACAGGTCATACCGTGAGGTCAGGCTCAGAGGAACACAGGTCACACTGTGAGGTCAGGCTTGGAGGAACACAGGTCACACTGTGAAGTCAGGCTCAGAGGAACACAGGTCACACCGTGAGGTCAGGCTCGGAGGAACACAGGTCACACCATGAGGTCAGGCTCAGAGGAACACAGGTCACACTGTGAGGTCAGGCTCAGAGGAACACAGGTCACACCGTGAGGTCAGGCTCAGAGGAACACAGGTCACACTGTGAGGTTAGGCTTGGAAGAACACAGGTAACACCGTGAGGTCAGGCTCAGAGGAACACAGGTCACACTGTGAGGTCAGGCTCGAGGAACACAGGTCACACCGTGAGGTCAGGCTCAGAGGAACACAGGTCACACTGTGAGGTAGGCTGGAGAACACAGGTACACACCGTGAGGTCAGGCTCAGAGGAACACAGGTCACACTGTGAGGTCAGGCTCAGAGGAACACAGGTCACACCGTGAGGTCAGGCTCAGAGGAACACAGGTCACACTGTGAGGTTAGGCTTGGAAGAACACAGGTAACACCGTGAGGTCAGGCTCAGAGGAACACAGGTCACACTGTGAGGTCAGGCTCGGAGGAACACAGGTCACACCATGAGGTCAGGCTCAGAGGAACACAGGTCACACCTGTGAGGCCCGGCTCGAAGGGAAAACAGGGCACTCTGTGAGGTCAGGCTCGAGGAACACAGGTCACACCGTGAGGCAGCTAAAAGGT